TTTTATATACAACTGCAAGCATCTTAAAAATCGACTATAGTACGATTAAATGAAAATAATTGTTCAGTAAAAAGATTGGTTGAAAAGCTTACTTATAATCCTTGGTATATATGCAAGTAAGCATTCTTCACTTCATGTCTTCATCCACAACACACTGCACTTAAGCAGCATCAGAGAGTGTAAAAGTGCATTTTTACAATTCGTGAGTGTAAAACCAAAGGTATAAAGCAACCGGAAAAAGAAATATAACTTATCAGAAAGTTAAAGAATCGCTTCATATTTGATATTACATAGGGAAATAAGCTTAGGATGTCCCTGTTGAACTATGTTTGGACTTTTTATTTCTAATCCTGCGTAGATCTAGCTGGTCAGTAGAGCTACCAAATTCACGCAAAGGATGATATTTCACCGAACCCAGCTCTTCTCTAGCTGTTCGAAGCCTTCTTTTCTCTACTTTCTGCAATGGAAAACACATAAATGAAAAATAAAATAAATATAAAAAGATAGAGAAAAACATTCAGTTATATGAAAATATGTAGTCTTACAAGGGCCTTATCGAACCCCGCAATTTGTTGCTTGCATAGGTTAATTTCCATCTCAAGAGCATTGATTCGAATATCGACAGGCACGTTAATCTGCTGAACCATCTCTTTTTGCCTGCCCCGGATAATTTCCGGCTGCCAAACATTCAACGCAACAGAAGCTTGCCTGTAAGAATCAAGACTAGAATATTACTGGTGGGATGATATGACGGTTAAGCTTTTTCCGACTAATTTGATGAATGAAATGAAATGCAAAATCATCTCAATTCAAACTGCCATAGGCAAATCAAATTCACAGCTTCACACAAAACCATTGGTTCACAAAGAAAAAAAAAATGAATCTTTTGACTAAACGATTTGTTCACTTCTCAGACCGCTTAGTAAAATACCTCGTCTAGATGTCACTAAAACTGCATATTTGCTCTCGCAGCAAAGTGAATCTCAAAAATAGTTTCACAAAAAATCCATAAAGCATTCGGATGTCTATCCGAAACCTTTACCTAATCTTACGTAGATTCGACAACTCAACAATTGCCTTGTTCATTTTTTCTTTCTCATCTGAGGTACCGACTTTTATCTCCTGAATTTTCCTCGAATGCTCGGCTATTTGGCTCTCGATTCTCAGAACAGCTCGCCTATGTGCTAAGCGCTTTCGTTCTCTGTCCTTCTCATAACTAATCATAGTTTTCACAAAAACATCCATTAATCTTGTCTCGAAAAAAATAATAAATTGAAATGAATAACCAGCAAAAGACCAACCAAAACAAAAAAGATGCATAACAAGACATCCTTTTGAGCCAATAGTCCTATAATTTCTAGAGTTCAATCAAAATAGTGCCAAGATTATATTTTTATTGATAGATAGATAAATAAATAATTATAAATCAGAAAAGAAAAATCAAAAATAATCTCAAGGCATTTTTTGCAAGACCTAACCAATCATAGAAAGCTCGTTCCTCACTTCAACAATATTTTTAGCGATAATACGCGGAAAAAAAAAATACCTAATTTTGTAGATGTTCTTGAACTTGCCGTTGACAGCTGAAGGCGAGGTGCGGCTGCTACTTTTAACATCTCTGTTACTCGAACTTGAATCGCCTCCGGAAGAAGGGTAGTCGGAAAGGAGAAGAAGGGACCAAAGAGCATCGTCGGCGGCAAGGCGGCGGAGGCGGCGGCAGGTGATGGAGAGGCAGCAGAGGTTCTTGTAATCGAGGGTCCGTCCGTTGATTCCGATTTCCATGATCTTTGTCCAGAGCTCGTCCGGCAACGCCGACATTTCGTTCAACTTCCGGTCGCCGATTTTTGGATCCTTCAGTAGTTTTTTAAACTGAACCGTTTGTCGATCGGTCGATCAATAATTGGGGAAAATATCATCTATATTTCTTTTTTTCTTTTTATTTTTTTTTTATTTTTTAACTTTGAAATTTATAATTTAAAGTTATTTTGGTTCCGAATTGGTAGAATTTACCTGTCAAATCCGGAATTGATAGTTAAATTATCTTTCGAGCTAGGCGGAAATTAAATAACTTTTGTTATAACTTTTTTAAGTTAATTATAACTTAAATTTTATCAACTTAACTCTCTTCAAAATTATAATCTATATATATATAAAAAGAATTACCATTTACTAAAAATAGTAGCAAAAATTTAGGAAACATTTAATGCATACTATTTTTGGAAATTTTTTAAATGTATGCATTAATTGCTTATATTTACATGTTTTCAAATAAGATCAAACAACATATGATCAAATAATTACGTCAATAAATTTATTAATATCTGCAGTATTTTCATTGATATTTATTATAATAAATTACAATATTGATTTTCGTGATTCATGTTGATAATATTTTGGTCAAGATAAATATTATTTTATTAATATTTGTAATACTTTCATTGATATTCATTATAATAAATTACATGATTGATTTTTGTGATCCATGTTCATAATATTTTGGTCAAGATAATATTACACCATATTTTAAGTTCCAACCATAATATTAGTTTTTTTTTTTCACAAATATTCACTTTTTATCCAAAAATATTTATTGAAAATCGTAACAGGTTAGGTAGAATTTTTTTTCCAAGTAATCACACAAAATTAAGATGGTGAATTAATCTTTGCCAATATATTTGTTTCTTAAGCTTTATTTTGTTAAATATAAAAAATAAATTGTTCTTCCAACTAATAGTATAATTTACCATTTAAGAGATAATAACCAGATATAATAAATAGTTTTACTAACGGTAAAAAATTAAAATTGAAACATATTAACTATTGTTTAAAATTTATTTGT